GGATGTACAATCGGCGCCAAGCGCTACTCAACTACGCGTCAAAATCTTCAAAGCAAATGTTTGCTCAAGTCCACTTTATTCAGTGACCTCACGTGCCCCTCATGAAATTGACAGAAGTAATCTTTTGACGTTCTTGTGATCCGGAAATTTGAAATGTGTTATCTGATACTGTATTATCTGATATTCTGACTGTATTATCTGATATTCTAGAAACCATCCCGAGGCTGTGTAACTTCGTCTAACACCCTGGTGTTGCATGCCCAACGATGCCCAATATAAACATCGCCTTCGCTGGTAGCCATGGCTTGGCGTTTTATTGCTAAGCTCAGCCACTGTACGAGCTGTATCTAATTTTGTTGTATCAAAAGATGGCCTTACTCACTTGCTTACAGGCCTACCTTTCGCGCGGTTGCGCTACTTCGTTCGGAAATTATTCTGGGACACCTCGTAGGGGAGCAGGTTGAATTGTTCCCCACCACGCTGGAGAGTGTGTTAAGTTACAGTGTCAAGTGAACAGTTCCAAGACACTATGAACCAGCCTAATGCAACATTACAAATGTCTTCCTGGGACAAATAAAATCCGAGAGGAAGCTATAAGAAATCGAAGGTAGCTGAGCAGCGACACTTATTTGTGAAATGTCAAGACAAAAAAAAAAATATTGCAGCGTTCCGACGGACCAACTGGTCGAATCGAAGTGATTTTTCAAGACATCTTATCTGTGACAGAAACTCCCCGGCGCATATCACAGCCTTAGTGCGGAGATAGTCAGTTAGCGGACTCTAGTGTCGCACCTCCGGATCGGCGAACCCAGCCCTCAGGTCAGCTACAGCGCGCCTTTGAGGCTGACAAACAGAGCCGAAGATCCGCCGCCCACCATCAAGCCCGACAGGCGTCCAGAGCGGCTCCGTGTTGCTGCCTGGATAAAGGGTGCCGTAACACCTTTGATGCACGCCACAGTAATCCCGTCTCGGGCGAGCAACGTTACAGTTAGAACCGCCTCTGTCAAGAATCTGACTGCAACGCTGTCGCAACCTCGACAGTGCGGCCCGACATAAGGATATCGCTCACTGTTTTGGGCTGCAGATATTTTTGGCAGTTAACACTTGTTAGGTTGTTAATGTCGATCAGTGTATCAATGAATGCGTCAATGTGCATTTATGCAATTTATGCTATCCCCCAGCTGCAGATGAAGCGCAGCTGCCGTCCGTGCCTTTGTGGGACAAAGACACATGTGTGCATGCCATTTTGCACTTGTATTTGGAACAATGACGACCTCGATGTGCGATGCTGGTCCAAAGCTCTCATGTATTACCATCGAAAGTTGTTAGCGTTGATGTATTCGTGTAGGCTATCTATAGTGTCCTATTTTGTTGCGATGCTTCGTTTTGCTCAATCGCATTTTCTGAGCTGTCTGAATCATTCGCCGCATCGTCGTTAGTGAGTTTATTTACTTCATCATAAAGCAGCCACCCCTAAAGCAACCCGACGCAATCACCAATAGTTGATTAAAAACCACGAATCACCCCCAGTTACTGCACGACCGCTGTGAAAGTATTTCTGGTTTATTGCTACCTTCATTTGAGTTTTGAGACGACGAAACTCGACCGCGCGATATTCGGCTCAAACTTCAGTTGGCTGAGGCCCTTGAACATATCCAACAACTTTCAGCAGATTTTTCGCATCAGCCTTGCAAAATTCAGGTTGGAGGATATGTGTCCTTGCCCCTGTCATTGTGTGCAACGCTTACAACAACATCATTTAAAAATGAACCCAGCCGCCAGCATTTCAAGGAACGCTCTGGGTCGTCGCAGCCAAAGTGTTTTTACATGACGTAGCGCATTGTCAAACGCCTCGGCTACGTTTGGCAAGCGATGAAAAAGCCACCTAAAAACTATGGCTTCTGTTGGCCTGGAGCATTCAAGTACATGATTACAACATTTTTTCGACGCACGGTGTGATGATTTATCAGAATGTGAGTCCTGTTATGCCCGTAAATCAGGTTCATTTCCCACAATAAACGTGCACCACAACACAAACCATTACGGTGGTGGTAGGACGAAGTAAAAACGTTACCGCACGCTAGAAACGCCCCCTCCGCTGATTCCGTCGCAATTAGTACACCTCTCATATTCCGGCCAGCGTTCATACAGCTGTCCAAACCCGACAACTCATAACCGACACCAAGCATCTTTCTAAGCCAACTTGCATGCAGCAGGCTACCGCGGCTCCTGTCTGAGCCAACTAAGGGGACTAGTCCAAGCCCTCTTAGGAAAAGGGCTCTTCTTCTTTTCCCGCTAAACGTGCAACAATAACTTTATTTCATGAACGCCACCTGCTACAAATGCTCCCACTGAGAGTCATGTTCAGCATGGCTCTTCCAAAAATTACAAAGCAGGCTTTTAGGATCGTGTAGAGGACTGATTTTTTAGCTTTCTTGATCGATTCTTTCTGGAAATACAGAAGACTATCACGCACACCTTTTTACTGAAATTATGCAAAGCAATGAAGTGCACCAGTCACACCTCGGTCGGCAATGACGAGTGACCATTTTCTTTTCCGTAATTTTTTGAAAACCATTTGATTCTAATTGTTTTTTAATGAGGTCTGTCCCTCTCACGTCTTCCCTGAAACATTTAAGGACACGGCCATTTTTCCCTCCTAAACTAGGAAAAGATACACAGCCCCCACTTACCCATTTATCGCCCCCACGCTCTCACGAACTCATTGGAAAAGCCTTTCAGCGGGGGGTTGTTTGATATATTTTCTGCTGTGATGAACAAGAGAGTTACCTTAAAAAATAAACGGTCGGATTTCGGCGCAATTGCGGCACCGCGGGATATGTGATCCGTCTTGATCCAGTCATTTAATGTTCCTTTGAATATTAAAACCATACCACTGCTGTGTGCTTGAACAATAGACATGTTCATGGCTTGGGATTACCTCCTTTCAGGATGGGGCGAATTCGCCCCTTTGTTTTTTCTTCTAGAGTCTCCTGTATTGTACGCAAAAGACCGCTTAAATTTACCCACTCTCTGCATGCATTTTTACTCATCGTGTCAACATTTCGGGCGCATTGCATGCGCAGGGATGGCTCCGAGACAGGCATTAGGACAGACCTCCAATGAAATTTCATGGCCATAACAACCATCTTGGCTGCAATGCTAAGTTGGCGATTTTTTCATGATATCGTCAGCATAAAAACCGCGGGACCAACCACGGTAGCACACATATATGACTTAACACACATATCCACCACATCGAAATTGAAATGTAGTGGTTGAAATATAAAAATAGAAAAAACAAAGTTTAGAGACGAAATAGACCAATTTGAACGTCTCCTATGCATTGAACGAGACCTGTCACTCTGAGATATCACTCACTGTCACTCCCAGGGTAAGATCGCATTAAATCATGCCGCCATTTTTTCTCCTCAAAGGCTTGTGTTCTAACGTGTACACGTTACGGCGAACAGGCGTTATGTCACTTAATGAACCTATGACGCACCATACGATGCATCAGCAGCGTGGACGATCATGCTGCATGTACAGATAGTTTGCGTCCACTACTCAAAAGGCCTCCGGCGTTTCACTGCGTGACGTCACAATGGCAGAGTCCAGGACGACCCAGGGTTGATTTCCTCATCACATTGTGGCACAGTTTGATGGTAGGAATTACCACTGCAGTGAGCACGCAACTGAAACACGCTTGAAAACATATCAGAACAGCTATGTACAAGATGTTCACCATTTTGGCCTTAGCCTAGCTCAACTTGATTGATTTTTCACCCACGATGAGCCTATGACGGGCACATGGAAGACCTCAAAAACACGCTACGTTCATGGATACGCGTCAGGATAAATGAAGCCTTGATTTGCTGTTGTACACGGTGCTTCAAACATTTATAGGGCGACTTTGACTGTTTCTGTGCAACGGAAGTGCCTTTTCGGAGTTATACCGCACAAGCAAAGTTAGGGTTAGCATCATCCTTAGCAACTGACGGGATAAAGCTATTATCATGGTGTGCTTTGTCAGCATTGAGACCTGCAAGTGTTATACCGGTCTTCATCGAGCAAAAATGTCGTTGATATCGGCGGGGGTCTTGCATGAGCAAATGACATATGTACGGAATTATATGTAAAACTGGCTCTATTACAGGGCTGAAATATAGGAATTATGGATGCCTTGGGTTAGAACGCAAAACGAAACAAAGCGTTACGCAGCCAGCCTATGGAAATGGCTTAAATATATTATATTTGGTCATTTGAATTAATTGACAGAATAGCAAGCATTACTCACTGAGTTTAATCAGTAAGTATTTAGATACGCTTGAACGCGCAGGCAGCTACATTGCAAGCTAATCCAGTTTCCAAATTTGGACTCGAAAACCCACCTTCGCAGCCGTTTTTTATACGTTTATTCCGAATGGTTTGCATTGGCGACTTTGGGTTCATAGTGCCTGTCAAGCATAGTATGTTGCGTATTACATGAACCTACCACCCATGTCGTGCCTTCCAGTTCAACAGATGATTTGGCTGCACCCCTTCGCCAGACAGGAATGCGGAGCGTGTTACGTGCCGCACAAGGCTACGACATAGCCGCCCTGGGCCTGGGTTGACCCTCGTTGGCCAGTTGGCAGCTGGCCTTTCCGTTTCAGTCGGGCTAAACAATGCGCCCACTCTGGGGCTCCTACCTAGTGCCGCTGGATTACGAGCCCAGCACTTTTCCGCTAGACCACGGAGAAGGCATTAACATGCATGACCGGGAAACTGAAACACAGCTGACCGCCGATCCCGCAGCTCTTTTTCCGACCTGCAACAATTTGTACCAATAGCCTTTCCGTGAACGGCCCTGTGTTCTAATAACTTGGGTTAAGTGCTTCCCTCGAAACTTCTAACGCTGGTGTGCAGACGACGCGGAAGTGAGCAGGATTGGTGGGTGGCTATCAACTTCGTGTATTGAGAAACCTGCGCAAGTGTGTGATATCCTGCTCCTGTTTTAGATTGTCTACGGTCTCGTAAAAAACAATGCGACTGATAAAGGAGAGGGAAAGCAGTTGCTAAGTGGAAGCGTCTTCGTTGCCCAGCCTGGGGCCCATGGTAAGTGTTATCATTATTAATTCGGTGTAACCAAATTGTGCATGGTAGCGAAAATGAAAGTTGTGTTTTGGCCAGTATTGTCCCACGAAGTGCAAAAATCATGTCATGAATTAAACGGCCGCGAAACAGAGCTGAGACAGTCTCCCTCGCTGCGATTAACGAAACGTACCTGGATCTCATTGGGCATCCCATTGCTCGCGAGCCCTCGTTGGTATAACGGTGGCCGGATGTCGTATCATGCGAGGGTGCAATTTTTCAAGCTTGATGCAGCTCGAGCTCATTCGTTTGAGTATAATGTCGCCGTTCAACTGTTAAACGCTGTCGAATGTCCGTGGGCTGTATTCTCATCCTATCGGATGCATTCTATATCCTTTCGAACCGTCGTATTTTGGCACACTGTGACCAATTTTTCGAGATGCCATATCAGTTGCGGTTTCTGAGGTCTTGTGGGCGCTCGTTCACAAGGGTTCTGGGACCCGTTAAAACGCCGTTTTTGCACTCAGCTGTTGTGCTGTGGTCGTGTGCCCGCGCCGCACTCAGCTGTCGTACTGTCGTCGTGCCCCCGTGCGCCACCACTCAATTGAGGAGGCTCGGCACCGATCGTGTGTATTTTCCCAAAGACTGTTTATTTACTTCGTCTTGCTGTTTATTTTGAGGCAGACGGGCAGAGCCAAAGCTCGCCGTAGTTGCCACGACGGCTTTCGTGGAAAGACCGGCCCGGCGCACAGAGCCGGGCGTGGTCGGCGGCGGGTTGTTTGCAGATGTGCGGTTGCATAACATGATTGAATGGCTGTATGCCGACGCCGCAGGCGGCGGCGCTCTTGGCCGGCCGGCTGACTACACGCCGACGGATGGCCCCACACTACCCTATTCACTCGTCACGGGTTGCAAAAGCAGCACTGATTTGCTTCAGGCCAGCGTCCTGTAGCCTAGAGCTTGTTATATACCGGTGCTGAGACCTCAACGCGGCGCGGCCGCTAGCCGTCGGACATGAAGCTGCGGAGCAGTGGGAACATCGGAATTAAAAAAAAAACTTCGAACATATCATGAACAAGTCCCTAACAGAAAAGGTACATGACTGGCGAGCCGATGACATAAAATTCAGTGGCGAAGATGATGGTATACTTTGCAAGGCCATGCCGTAACATTTAAAATGCAATGGCATGAAAAGTGAAATACGTACGCACGAGAATTATATGAGTAAGAACGGCCAGAACATCAGGCTCTCTTTATATCGATAATGAGTAAACTTTTCGCGGGAGGTGCATATTACTAACAAGGCAAACGCGTGGAATATTATGATATACTTTGCAAGCTTATGCGGCCAGCCATTGCAATGAAATCGGCGCGGAAATCGAACACGCCTATACACGAACCGCTGCAGAGATGGGCAGCCAGAACATCGGCCTGCCTTCGCACCGATGACGAACAAGGTGTGGAGGGAAGGCGCACATTACCAGATATCGGAATGTGTATATTTCAATTGGGAGTGTGATGGTGAGCCATGTGCATGTTGATATGCCAAAGGTTAAAATGCAATCAGCGTGAAAAGCGAACGCGTTCACGCGTGAACTGTGTAGATAGGCAGCCTGAACATTGGGCTGCCTTCTTACCAGTAAGGTAGCGGGTAGATTAGTACTGGTGGGTGCATATATTTGCGAACCGATGAGGTAGAATTACATGGCAAACATATCATGGGCTTTGCGAGCTTATATTCACCAAAGCCGTTTAAATAAATCAGCGTCGGAAGTGAATGGCCTACGCAGGGAGGCTGGTGCTAGAAAAGGGGCACGAGCTCCCCAACTTAATTACAATTTGGCATTCACCACATGGGCGTTGACTGGAAAGAAGTAAACAAAATGGCTAGCTCCCCCACCGAACATAGGAGAAATTCCGTTGTCCCTGCGCCGGTGCGGAAGCCGGCTAGCAGCTTGCGCTGAGTACTGGGGCCAGTTTTATAAAAGAAAATACCGTCAGGGGAGGCAATTTTCCTCAGATTTTCGTCCTCCGAGTTAAATAAAGCTCGGAGCAAAACAATATCATCCTCCACGAAAATCCTCCGTCATCGAAAGCGATTTTCCTCCATCTAGTTTTATAAACAAAATGTACGGCGAGAAGCGCAATCGTAAATGCGCAGTTATTGTAGAAAATGGGCCGATAAAAGAATCAACGTCATCGCTGCGTTTTTTTAATCAAGGCCGACGTACTTTTATCAAAATGCGCCCTAAGTAGGTTGCAATGGCTCAGAAACCTAGCTTCAGGGTGCGTGCATCTTTATTGCTTAGATTGTATCGCTTTGTTTCCACCTGACCGATGGTGGAATCAATATCAGGCTCCATCAGGCTATTGATAAGGACTGGCAGTGTACATCATGCTCCGAGATGCCTATGTGGTGCCTCGGTTCTACCCCATGCGTGTAAGACGCAGAAGCATAGACTACAAGGAACGTCGCTGAAAACATTGTCGAGGATTCAGCAACGTGCTACAGTGTACAGGTGAGCCTCGGTTCATAAATATTTGCGCTATTTCTGGATATATCACAGCTTTACCCACACGCCAACATCTTGCTGCTTGTAGCATGCTAAGACAGTATTCATGAAAGGCGTGGCAGCGCAACCTTTGTCTAGGTGCTGGTTGGAGGGGAGGGGGGAGTTTATGTCAAAAGTTGCCCTTATTTGTGTGTCAGTTCTCGCTGTCCCCACCTCCTCCCCCGTTCCATCCATGGCCTATGCTAGGGTGGTAGCCAGTGATCTGAAATCATGAATGAGTGCCTGAAGCATTTGTATCATTTCTAGTGGCAATTGAAAGGGGAACAACACAATGTCTCAGCGGATAGATATCCTAACGGGCCGCTTGAACTAGTCATCTTAGATGTTTACACTATACGAAATGTCTTCTTTTTATGTGCAACTTAGATGACATTTGCTATTTGTATCCCTGGTTGTGATTGCTTGCCCCTCTTTCTGTGAAGTTAGTGATTTATTTAGTGATAGCCCCCCCCCCCCCCCTCCTTCACATCCAGCCCATCACCTTTACACTGATCGGCAACAGCAATAGTTTCAGTACTTTCTATGATAAGGCTATCTGTTACCTACCTGGCTGCCTGGATCCCACATCCCACTAGACCTATTTGCTTAGATTCTACGTCCTACTTTCGATTTATCCGCCACCAAGGTAAGTTGGCTCTGGGGAGATCAGGGGAGGATGGAGGGATACCCAGGTGTATTCCTTGGTAGAAAGGTACCGTGTAGGCATGCGCCAAGCAGTGGAATATTTATACGCGGGGCTGCAAGCAGTGCCATTAAACCAGGAGATGAATCGATCGGACAAGGGGGTGGGGCATATGCCATGGTATTTCAGTCAGTGGTAGTAAATAGGTGCCTTACTGTATGGTACCATAATTCAAACGCCATTTCCCCTAATTTTGCGTGCAATATTTCGCCAATGAGATAATAACTGGGTAGTTTATTCAAGGTATGCATGCCCCTGTTTTCATTGAATTACTTGTGGTATGCTTGCGGTTGAGTATTCACTAATAACCAGCAAACTGAATGGGAGGGAGGGGGGGGGGGGGGGCATGACCACTCCCTAGCTTTCCCTAGACGCGGGCTGACCCTCTCACACGAAGTTATCTGCCGTGCTCGAAGTACGTTGTTCAGGCAGTCCAGATTCCTCAACACACCTTACTGCAAAGGTGGACATAACGGCGACCAATGCTCAAGCGCCTACCCATACAGTACTATTTTATTCAGATCTGACATGTGTTTCAGCGGAGGATTTTACCAATGAGTTAATTACTACACTTGCTTTATATCTACTCGACATAACCAATAATGCATCTTTTTACGCGACTCGGAATGTTTCATACTTACTTTAACTTGTCAGAAAACGCAAGGTTTCGCAAGCCGAGCTATATCTTCCTGCGTACCTTTGACCACTGCCTACTGCTCGGGTAGACATTTGTCTTGAATGTAGATGTTAAAATGCTATTGCGAGACAAAAATACAAATTGCACACAAGAGACACTTGTTGCACCTAATTGGTAATAACAAAAGCTATTTGTCGTTCTCAATGAGCATAATCTACCATCATGAAAATAAAAGGATGTTTGTTTGCGGTACGATAGCGTCGCGTACTTCTGATAGGCAACAGCTGACTTTGAATCTAAAAAAGCTGTCGACGGTTAAATTTACGTCGGTTGTCAGGTTGTCAGGACAGTTCATAAAACTCGGTAAGTGGAGGAATTTTTTGGTAGATTTTTTTTGGCGAGGAGCGACGGTAATTTTTTATTTTATAAAACTGGCCTCTGATCGTATTTTTTGCTATAAGATAAGCAGCACAGATGTTATGGGGGACCTCATTAAGCCAGGAAAGGTCATCGTTTAGTGCGAGGCCCAGATGTCGCCACGGGGGACTGAAGAAGTGACGGCCGACCCCAAAACACGTCCAGTCATCAGCCACGAATCAGGGTCACACAGGTCCGCGAGCTGCCCGTGCGGCTTCGCGCACATGACAGTGTACGTCTATATCATCACGCCTTTTAAAACTATGCTCAGGAATGGGGTAAATGAACTTTTGGAGCGCACTGCCATTCGTATGCAACGCACAAAGTTTCATCAATTGTACTGTTAACGTTGTCCCGGTCAGACAAACCGTATCACAGATGCGTATCGTGCTCAGCACCCCGGCTTGGCTACCTAGAATTCTACTCACGTGACACTTTGACGTTAAATATAGCAACGCTTATGAAGGTCTCAAGAACGCAGCATACGTAGCTCAACATTCGCAGTAGCTATGCAGACACGTAGGGACTAATAACTGCCAGCCCCTTGTTCAGGTGCGGACCGAGCAAAAAAAGTCTGCTGTCGCCGACGAAATTTGGAAAGATCTTAACTGTCACCTGGAGCTTATTTTATCATACATTTTTCATAATATAGCTATAGATACGTTAAATCACAATAAAAACGCACAAACAAGTTGCAACGACTCATAAACATGAT